TTGCGAATAGACTAAGTTCTGCAGCGTATGCTATAAGGAAAATAAGATGTCTAACTGATGTAAACGGCTAGAATTGTGTATTTAGTTACTTCCATAGCATAATGTCATATGGTATTTTGCTATGGGGGCACGCGGCCGATATAGAAACAATTTTTATTTTGCAAAAAAGGGCCATAAGAGCTGTTTATAATCTAGATCTGAATGCATCTTTGAGAGAGAAATTTAAAGAAATAAATATATTAACCTTAGCCTCTCAATATATATATGAAAATGTTATGTATGTGCGTAGAAATACTAATAATTTTGATAAGAATACTGATATACATAATGTGAACACTAGGAACAAACACAAGCTTGTAATGCCAGTTACTAGACTCCATAGAGTAAGTAACTCGTTCATGGGGCGGTGTATACGCTTTTACAACAAAATCCCAGTAAATGCGCAAAACCTGCCTATTAACAGGTTTAAGAAATCTATTAAAGAAAAACTTTATAAAAAGGGTTATTATAATACAAACGAATACATTAATGATAATAACCCCTGGGAATGAGTTGATCGCTCCCAAGCTATTTCTAAAAGGAAAAAAATCAGTTGTATAATTTTTGAATTTTTTGTTAAGAAAAAAAAAAATAATTACAAAAAAGAGGATACCTACGGAGTTTCTTTCGCCTGTTTCTTCTCCGCTAGAGGAACCTCATTACGAAACGGTGGTAGATTTAAAAAAAAAAAATATGACTATTGATAAATGAAATGTAAGTTTCTTATGTCGATGAATAAATGATTTTGATTTTTTTTTTTTGATTTTGGTCCTTGCGCTCAAAATATTTTATATTAACTTCATATTTGAAGAAATGTCTGCAGTTTTAAAGTTTTAAAGGTCTGCTAGGATACGGGCATGTAAATCGAGGCCCAGTTTAGCTATAAAGGGCAAATGTCGGTAAAGTACTTACGTATTTGACGATTTTGTTCGTTATTAATTTAATCTGGTACATTATCAGTTAGTCTGCACTGTTGCACAATTGGGCAGGTCCGCAGAACGGCAGGATTAACACCATAATGGAACAGATGCCGGTATGATGGTGCGACGCAGTGATAAAATTTCATAACAAGCCTCGATCGCAGCCAGCGGTTATTTGCGGCGAATCGTACCTCTCCTGTCACTTGTCGCGTATTGTATGAACCTACAAAAAGGTCCACTGACATTTCAATGGGATTCCGAAGCATTATTGCATTATTCGAACCGTCTGCGCTTATTAAGCTGACCTTTTATCTTTTTATTTGTGTCTCGCCTTTTTATACTTTACGAAATGTTGAAGATTTAAGGATGGTAATGTTTATTGCGTATGTTGCATTGCGAACACTATTTAAACTATGGTTTCGATTATTAATATTAACAACTAGCAGAATATTTCGCCGAATTTTAAATTTAAGTTTGATGTTCCGAACTAACAATAAGTTTATAATTGAATGATGGATAGGACTGTTCCAAGGTCTAAAAGTAATGTAACATTAAAATGTATAGATAAAATTACGAAAAGATTTTCGCCCCTGTGGGTATCGAACGTAGGTACATGTTTTTAAGATTCGCACCAGGACGCTTTAACCACTAAGCTAGACGGACGATTGCTACACCGAAGAAAATCTCGAATGTCTTTTATCTACATCAGATCTGGACTTAGGTATTGCCCAATCATACATATAATTAAAAATATTTTTTATATTATATCTTTGATATTCAGGCTTCCCCGTGATTGAACTCTGTTACTCGTATATTGTATTGACGGCAAGCAATAGCTTTTTCCATTTGTGTTTTTAAATTTTTTCGATCGAAAATGACATTTGTCCTGGATTAAACAATTCTTATGTGTACTTTGTAAATAGTCAATCGTCCACAGGGGCGTATCAAAATGACACAGTCAAATTCCATTAAGAAATGTATACAATAAACACGTCGTAACTTGTAATTAAAACGATGCAATGGCAACGAAGCCGCACGTAACCGGTACACGGCCGCGACGGCGGTCCAGTGCGCCGGTGGCAAACAGTGCATTCATTGGGGCGGCATGAAAGTGCAATTTGCGGGCGGTGCGGCCGCGCGGTCGCAGCCCCGTTACGTCACCATTGTCCGTCACCCACATACGTATACGCACACCTACATACGTATACGCACCTACATATGAAAGTAGGCATGCCCTATGGAGATGGCTTTCGTATCCCACGTTACATGCTATTGTTGTAAGCTTCGCCGCTATCCCGTTACTCGTTGCTCGAAACTGTTTAACTGATATACTGGTTGCTTTTAACAGATTTCGAAAAGGGAGATGTTCGTGGGGAGTTTTTTGTTTTGTATGTTCAGCGATCGTTTTTGTATATTGTCAGATTGCAAAGATAATTTTTTGTCCCGTTAAAACATTATTTTAGGAGAGGTATTAAAGAAATTTGATCGGATTGATGACGGAAACCATATGGAATTCATGAAGTGAATTAATGACAAGGGATTTTTAATATTTTGAATAATTAATATTTCCACATACTAACTTTTCACTGTAATAAATTTGGGTTACGTGGCAAACAGGGGCAAAAAAGTGGGACTGATAAAAATATTAATAATAATTCAATTTAGTCAATACGTTCACATTATCTGCCAAAAGATTAAGAGGAAAGATAAAAAAGATTTGTTTTTCATACGCACACTGAAAACAAATGAAAGTGGGCTAAGTGTCGAGACACTATCGAGATAGATGAACATTGTTTCCATGAGTCTTACAACATTACTTGCTGGAGTAATGCCAATGTTCAAGCAAATCGGATCAGAGCTAACTAAGACGCCTTAATCACGCCAAATACCGCAATAATAAATGTCTTATGAAGTCTTAAATAGCGACGAAAAAGTGCGACATAAAGTGATAACGATGTCCGTTAATAAGTTTGCTGTGGAATTCTTGATTATGAGTACGAACAAATAATGGCGGATCTAACTAATATTATGCTTTTTAATAACTGAATTCATGCAAACAGCTTAGTTGTTTGCTTTACAGAGAGTTCAATACATTGCAGAATTGAAATAATTGGATATTCGGATTCGGACCTTGCGTTGTGTAATTCATTAACTGCCGGACTTGTTCATTTCTGTTATGATACGTTTTATTGTTCGACAAGAAATCTTGTGCCGTGTTGGAAACGTGTTTGTATAAGTACGTCCCTAGCGAATGTGTTATTGTGAAAGTTTTTATCTATAGTCATCCCTTCTAAATTTTTTTTAGTCTCAAACAATGCTGAACGTCGCTCGTAAATAGTAGGTTCTTTTCAAAGAATAACAAAAACCTTTTCGTTCTGATTTTAGCATATAAATCGTTTTTACTTTGCCGTTGTGAAATCTATCAGTATATAAGTACAAAATTTATATAATTGAGATATCGTTGGTGACTTTTTAGGTTTTAATTAAAAATAGTTATTTAAAATCCGTGTATTGGAAAGTATATTAATATACTTTTATAATTAACAGTTTTATTAATGAATCCCTCTGATTAACGTCGTATAATGTTGAATGTTGTTAGAAATATAATCAGAAGATTACTTTTATTGAACAATGTCATGAAGAATGATTTAATCATGTTCGTTATTTGTTATGTTAAACCAACAAGATTTGCACTACACGTTTTACACCTGTCAATAAAATATCTCAAAACAATGCCTCGCAATTTATTTCGCCGCGAGCAAATTGTTTATCACGTTAATTTATTCATTGCTCCGCAGCCTGGCTTATCGGTTGCAATTATGTATACGCGGCGTTATTATTGAATTCGTACCGCGTTGTAATGTGGAAACGCTTTGCGGTGGTATATTTGTACGTGTAATTCGGCCGCATTAACGTACCGCCGCTTAATTGATTACCGACGTTATTATTGCGCGATAACTGGGTTCATTACGCGAACAGATAGCGTTCGGGTGTGAAATACGACGCTTTAATTGGCTAAGTCTAAAGCGGTTGTGGCCAACCTTTTTCTATTTAAGACCCAGTCTAGATCTTAAAAGTGCGTCTTGATCGACTTTTTATTCCGTAGGCGTAGTCTGAGTAAGATATACACTTGTTTAATTACGGAGAGCGCTCTCAAGAGAGTGGATATGTCTAAATATTACTTGTGCTAAGTTTTGAGAGGATGTATTTTCTCAGTGGCATGTTTAGTTTCAGTTATTAACTTAATATTTATAGTTTTAATAAAAGTTTTTATGAAAACAATAAACATTAAGTTAATAAAAAAAGGATAAACATACAGTTGTATACAACACGATGTCTTCTTAGTAAAGCAATTTAGAAGGATTGGCAAAATAGCAAGTGCTATCAAATTGTTGTTCACCCCTGCCGGGTTTAAGTAACAATTTGTCGCGACGTCTCTGTTCTAATTCCCTTGGTAACTGATACCAGTGCACTGTAATACCTACTAGTTAGGATTAAATGATTAAACATTTCTGATTATTAACTAAACTGAATTTAGTCAATCCTTCTACTAGTTCTTTATTATTAGTTAAGAATTTAGGAATTGTTAAAGTTCTTTTTAAATCTAAGTTATTTCCATATGCATAATTATAATTATTGCGCGACATCGAAATAATATTGCCAACTGGTGTAACTATTTAAGATGATTACTATTTAAGGTGATACTATTATGATGACTCCGTCGCGCAATTGCCAAGGTGTTTTCTTCTGTCGTGGGTTCGATCCCTACACGGAACATTAACTATTTGTGTGACCCAAAGGTAGGTGTTTCGCATCTGGGTGTTTGTCCACGTGAAAATTACGTTTGTAAAATGTACGCACAAAGGATAACCTTTACCATAAGTAAAGGCAATGTTTATAAAAAGGAACAGATAAAATGTTACTACAACAGCGTGTCTACGTTTGTAGAAAGTACTAACAACACAGTTTACAAAAAGTAAAGGCAATTTTTGTAAAAAGAAAATGATAAAAGATTGGTACAACGGTGTGTCATTATTGCAGACGGAAATCGCGAAGAGGCTCAACGCGATAATAGCTCAGATCCTGCCGTTCCTGTCTCAAGAGCACCAGCAGCAGGTCGCGTCGGCGGTGGAACGGGCGAAGCAGGTCACTATGACGGAACTGAACGCCATCATTGGGGTGAGTTCCTATTACATTTGCATGGCGAAATCGAAATCAAATGTCTTATTGATAGTCGAAATACTACCAGCCGGTTCGGAAAAGAATGCCACTGTACTGAGAAGAGCCGGCGAAAGAAATTCAGCTGGTTTTTTTTTTATTTATTTTTTTAATTAAACAGTTTGACATGAATTGATTACAAATACAATATAGGAACCCAGCGATCAATTCATTAGCTCAATCGCTCCGACCTTAACGAGGCTTAACGTGCTTGCCATCAGCCAGTCGACTTTTCAACACTTGTTGAATATCTTGGAGGCTGTAAAGTCGCCTCAAGTATAACAAAAAAAAATGATAATGTTACATTACGTATTAGAAAATTTGTTGAGAAATTGTGTTCGAAGTCGGACCTCCTAGTCTAGGACACTGTCGACTTACATTTACAAAGGCTTGTTATGATATTAGAATGTTTAAGTAAATTTTGTCCAATATTCCAGACGAGTATTAGCTCGATTAGTCTCATATATTGCTGTTACATTAAATCAGATTGATCTTTTAGATATGATATTTAAGTTGCTAATTTGGCGTTGAAGTTCTCAATCAATATTTCGAGACGACGAGGCCACAATGATAGCTTTTACACTTCTTGTTTGACTCACGTTCGTCCCGCCCACCGTGCAAACACCTATAAACGTATTCTTACTTACGTCGGTCGACGTAAATTATTATTTAACACGCATCGTTTGTTCAGATGGCGATATAAAGGCATTACGCGCGAAGAACTGCATTGTTACTTCGTCCCGTGTTTAATCAGCCGTATCGTGAAATCGATTAGTAACATATTTTTTATATTTCAAAGGAAAACTTGTCAGTTTATTTTGCGTTCTCTCCTTTCAATAAAGTCGGCCCCTGTTACTTCACTCACCAGGCGAAACGCTGTATTACTTCCACTTCACGCCGGTCTTCTGTGGGGTCGTGGGCTTCCCCGGACGGACCTGCCCATTCGATCAACAGCGTACATTGTTTCGTGGCCCTACCACAGAGAAGGAGAGAAAATTAACGCAACCTTTGAACACGAGCACTACATCCCGAAAATCATATAAACATTTGGAAGTGATTGAACTGTTGGTGCTTTTAACGCGTCCGCGACTGCGTTCTTAAACGCGTCCGTTTACGTTGCGTCGTCAATCTCGCTTCAATTTACACAGGCCTCTGATGGAAACGCGTAAACATAACAGGCGGCGGGAATAACATGTAAATCATTCGGAACGCCCGCGTGGAGAATTATTAATTCGTCGGCGGCAACGCTATTCCAACACGTGTTCTGTTTGTACAGCGCGGCTCGATGTAAATGCGCTGTGGAATGTTTAGCAGCGCCATTGCCCCTCCGGCTGCCGTTCGTGGCATCTGTCCAAACAGTCCACGCACTTTATTGCCTCTACTCCGTATTACCCAAGATTTTACACTTGGAAGCTCACCAATAATTTTGCTTAATGGGATTATAATTCATACACGACCACCCACCTCCACCTACCATCAGTTGGGACGGTAGGCTAGTTAATAAAACAAAAAGAAATGAGTTCGTATTTATTAGTGCAAATACTTATTTACAGGTGCAATTGTGGTATGTGTTAACGGTTTAAAACAAGCAGATGCGACGACATAAGTGAGTCAGTTCCTCGATATTTTGCTATATATCGATTCAACGTGCCGTCGATCGGGCTGAATCGTAGGTGTGCGGTCGACCGTTAAATATGTCCGGTTAAATCGAAGCGGAACTAACTAGTAAAATTATTCCCCAACGCGAAGTCGCCGCTTTCAACAGGTCGAAAGTTCGACGATCGTTAATTAAACGATCTAAGCCGCGCCGCCCGCCTGGCCTCCTGCCAACGGAGTGGAGGGAGGGGGGGGGGGGGGGGGGGGGGGGGGGTTTGCTTGATAAAATCGCTACAAACCGGAATACGTCCCACTAGGAACTTGGACGAGGATGTTTCGACTCATTAAGCCAACGGCCGCTGTCATCTCCCCAATTAGCGGGGTCCCTCATACGAGTATACGACATCTACCAAGACGGTTTTTCGGTCTTTTTCGAGCGCTTACGCATGTCTAAAGCTGCCACCGATCCTCGAACTAGATGTTTTTTTAACACAAATAGAAGTTCACCAACGGCATGGTGTCGTGCGCGTTACAAATTGTCATTTCCACACACCATATGAAGCTATCACGATATGAACGCATTCTAAGCTTGCACGAATTCGCGTTTACGCGTAACAACACCGCGAATTGTTATTCCGAGTAAATTTCACAAGCGTCGCTTTATCTCTGAAGGCGTCTATTAGGCCGTCCCTTCAATCGTCGGTTCAAACTCGTTTCGTCACATAACGTTTGGCGTCGACCGTTAGTTAGCCAGGGGCACGCCGCCACCGAAATAAATCGCTCCGGATGTAACGACTTCGAAAATAAAGCGGTGAAGCGCTTGTCGCTCATCAGTGCCGCCGATTGGGCCTCGTGCAGTCGAACTTTGGAGACGCGCCAGCCCGATTAGTGTACAAACGGCTCCGCTTACCACCTGATACTGATTCATCATAGCGAACAGTGTGTCGTTACGAAGCTATTTATAATAATTACCCCTTAAATAGCCGCGGCAAGTTGACATGCGTCTGTAATTAAAGCAAAGTGGGTTCTGGTTAACCCACCGGTTCTGCGTCAAATGAAGCTTTAATAGTCTCGGGACTGAAAGCACAAACACCAGTTAATACAAGATACAAGAAGCAAAGCAAAGTAACACTATAACTGCGACGACCTGTGCAAATGTGCGGGAAGTCGATGAATGCAAGTGGCTCCGGATCGTGCCTCGTGGCAGTCTGTGGGGGACAGGCCTATGTTCAGCAGTGGACTCAAACAGGCTGAAATGATGATGATGATGAACACTATAACTAGCCGTGGCAGATCAGCGTCCGATCGCGTTTAATCGAGCGAACCGAGTTCAAATCCCCGGTGCGGGCACCGATGAAATTGATGAATGCTGATTCCCTACGTGCTTGGCGTTTCAGGTTATGGTCGTGAGATAATTTTGAAATATGAAATATTAAAAGCAACGCATATCTTCGAAATATATAATATATATTTCGAAGATATGCGTTGTCTGCCACTTCGCACTGGCATGTGGAGGTCTAACACTAATCTCTGTATAAATTGTTCCTTTGTCCTGTTCATCAACCATAATGCAACAATACTGTCCTGTTCCGGACAGTATTGTTGTATTTACTTGTAGTCGTATCAAGCTCTTACTTAATCACTTAAATATGTAGTTCATCGAAAGATTTCCACTGTTGATTGAATAGATTTGCACTCACACGCGGTCCGTAACTTTTGGCTTTGAATCAACTGTGCCGTGAATTATTGACAGTACCAATAAACTGTTTCGCGCTAATAGCGTTTGTAATTATTTGTTGAGCTTTGTGATTTCGCTTTGATCGTATATATCGTGTGCGTCGAGTTGAAATTAATGCAAAACGCCTAAGGTGAAACGTGCCGTTTGAGGTCGGTTTAAATTTTTTTAATTTATATTTAGATTTCATGTTTGTTATTCTACCAAGTCAAGCAGTGGTCTAAAACTGGCTGAAGATAATGAATCTATCAATTACCACCATTGCGCCAAACGGAAACTGTCGCTTGCTGTTTGTCACACAATAACGCCCGCACAAATAAACATTAGAGACAAAAGTATTTGCTTTTGTTAGGAAACCAAAACCTCCTAATCTGATATATAAAAGAATTTGTGTGTATATTCGAAAGACAAATGATATCCTTTGTTAAATCGCCAACCCTCTCAATTACAACGATCACGATTTTTCCCTCGTAATAAGTTCATCGACCCCGCCACGAAGATATGTATTTATAACCAAGTGGGGTACGGAAGGAGCCGGCAAAACGCAATATCGCTTTTCCCCTATAAAGCACTCTAATTTAAATAAAAAAGCGGCGCCACCTTCCGTATGTCGGTCCCTTTTTATTGGGAACCTTTTTTTTATTTTCGGGTCAGCGAGGGATCAAAGGCGCTCTCCCCCACGGCCCCTCCGCGCACCCCGTACCGAGACGACTTAGCCGCACTTCAATCCGTGAAGAGGGAATAGTCCGTCGAATGGGGGGCCGTTTGCTCGCCTATTAAAATCACTTACCGTCTCCAGTTAGCGCCGCCCGCTGTCAAGATTTCCTGTACACGCTCCTGTTCACGGCGCCGTTTTCATTAAGTTTGTTTACCGCCACCCCCGTTATTTGTTTACGGTATGATTTATCGTTTCCCACTTTTATGTTTTGTCGAATAATATAACTGTGCCGCAGCAGCATCTGGTCGAACGGAAAGTACCACGGCCGTGACTACAAGACCGGTTAAGTTAAGACGTTAAGTCCAAATATTAGTTATACTTTCGCGTTTGGTCCGGGGATTTAGATAGCCGGGGCCCACTTTGTTAATGCTTGGTAGCGCTCCTGCAACCCGTCAGGTGACGTAAATGTTCATGCGCAGCGGTAATCACTTAACATCACGTAAACCGCCTGCTCGCTTCTTAACGTTTCACACTTTTCAACCGCCGTTTCTTCTGTTTCAACCGCCGTTCAAAGTATCGGAGGCACGGTACAAGTACGTGTGAATACATCGACAATGGGCGAGGGGAATTTATCGCCGCGCCGTCGCTACCCTATCGGCGGGTATATCATTTCTCGTTCTGATTTTATTCCGCGTCGCCGAGCCCCAGGGGTGGTTCCCAGCTACGTCGGGGCAATAGCTTCCAGATACGAGCCACCCCCGCGCTCACCTATGCGCGGCAGGAATGTTCGAAACAATGTTCACGAAACATCCGCAAATCGATAAGCCGTGCAGCGCAAATAGTTTGTGGTAACATATATTTTTTTGTTTTTTCCAAGGGATGACGACTGAGTGGTTCAGCTTTTGGTTAGTGACGATGCTCAGGGACACTTGCACCTCCAGACTTGTTGCAGACTGTCTCATTAAATGTCTT